AGATGAGGATGATGAGGATGATGAGGAGGAGGGGAAGAGGAGGAGCAGGAAGGGGATGATGACGACGATGACGACGACGATGACGATGATGATGATGGTGATGATGATGGTGATGCTGATGCACATGATGATGATGATGACGATGATGACGATGAGGGGGATGATGAGGAGGAGGCTGGTGATGATGGTGATGATGCTGATGATGATGATGATCATGATGATGACGACGATGATGAAGAGGATGAGGATGCGTAAGAGGACGATTAGAATGACGACGACGATGATGATGATGATGAGGATGAGGATGATGATGATGATGTTTGCCCCGCTCTCTCAGAGGTCTCTGGGGGAGAAGGAGAAGAAGGAGGAGGAGGAGGCAAAAAGGTTCCGCTTTCTCGGAGGAGGAGTCGGAGGAGGACGAGTGGAGGAAAGGGGGGAAACCGAAGGCGAGGGGCCCCGTTCGTAGAATTTCGTGCGCATGGCTCAGGCGGTTTAGGCACTTTCTGGTGCAGCATCTCTCGCTTTCCGGCTCCACGAATAGGAAGGGGAGTGGGAGGAAGAGGAGGAGGAGGAGGAGGAGGAGGAGGAGGAGGAGGAGGAGGGGGAGGAGGAGGAGGAGGAGGAGGAGGAGGAGCAGAAGGAGGAGGAGGAAGAGGATGACGAGCCCGCAGTCGGAGGCACGCCTCGGAGCCCTTCAAGGACGCCCTCGTGATCGTCGTCGTTGTCGTCGCCGTCGCCGTAGCCATCGCCATCGGCACAACCACTGGCAGCACAACCAGCACAACCATCACCAGAATAACAACCAACAGCACAAGCGGGGCGGGCGATGCGAGCCTCGGCCCCGCAAAAGCCTGCGGGCGAGCACCAGCGCAACCATCACCGGCACAACCGCTAGTGCAATTACCACCAACGTAACTACCACCAGCAATCCTTTTCAGGGGTTGCGCATTAACAGTGGCGACAGCCGCCACCAGCACAACTTAATATATTCATTTGTGGCCGCATTGCGGCCAAGCCGTGGTGCGAATGACTACCACCAGCTGGAGACGATGTGGCTCTGCACTGTCGCTCCCTGTGTCACCGGCAGAACAACCAGCGCCAACACAATTGGCGGACCGCGCCGGAGGAGAGAACGAGAGAGAAAGCGCACACCATTCCTCTCACTCAGACCCACTCACTCATCACTCAGACTCACTCATCAAACAGACCCACTCATCACTCAGACTCACTCATCACTCAGACTCACTCATCACTCGGACTCAATCATGACTCAGACTCATCACTCATCACTCAGACTCACTCATCACTCAGACTCACTCATCACTCAGACTCACTCATCACTCAGACTCACTCGTACTTGTACTCATACATTCACTACACTCACTCAGGTCCACTCATCGGATGACTCACGCACACTGATGTTGAGGATGTCTCAGGCGATTCTGTGGCTTCAGCACTCCTAAGGGGAGCGGCGGGGGGGTGTTTCACTCGGCCCCTTTCGCAGGATTTTGTGGGGATGTCTCGAGCGGTTTGCTTGCTTTCTGTCCCAACCTCCTTCGCTTTCGGAGCAGATTTGGAGGATGTTTCGAGCGAGGCGCTCATTTTCACGTTCCTAAGGGGAGCGGCGGGGGGGTGTTTCACTCGGCCCCTTTCGCAGGATTTTGTGGGGACGTCTCGAGCGGTTTGCTTGTTTTCTGTGCCAACATCCTTCGCTTTCGGAGCAGATTTGGAGGATGTCTCGAGCGAGGCGCTCATTTTCACCCCCCAGGTGGGCCAGATTTTGAGGATGTCTCGATCGGTTTGCTTGTTTTGGTGGCCAGGCTCGTGGGCGCAGATTCTTCTCAGGATGCCACAGGAGGCTCCAACAGGCTCCAGGAGGCCCCAGGAAACCACATGAGGTCCCAGCAGGCATCAGGAGGCCACAGAAAGACTCAAGAAGCCACAGGATGTCCCAAGAGGCTCCAGGAGGCCCCAGGAAACTCCAAAAGGCATCAGGAAACCACAGGAGGCCCCAGGAGGCAACAGGAAACGCCAGGAGGCCTCGGAAAGCATCAGGAGGCCCCGAGAGGCCCCAGGAGCAGGAGGCTTCAGAAGGCAACAGGAGTGGCTCCAATCCCATGTGTTTTACGTATGCTCCTATCGATTGGGCCTCACATGGAGCACGATTCTTTGATGTTATACGTATGTTTTTATAGATTGTCCTTCTCCTGTGTACACAATTCTACATGTTTTACTTATGTTCCTGTATTTTGGACCTGTCCTGGGGCACGGGTCCTTGGTGTTTTACGCGTGTTCCTATAGATTGCCCTTCTCCTGTGGCTCTAATCCGCAATGTTTTATGTACGTCTGTTGCTATATATTGCGCCTCTCCTGGGACACGAAACCTCCCTAGGAGGTCCCAGGAGGCCCCAAGAGGCTCCTGGAGACCCCAGGAAACCCCAGTAGGTTTCAGGAGGCCCCAGGAGGCCCCAGGCTCATGCACTGAGACGCGCTCGTACTACTGAGACTCATTCGCATTCCAATTCATTCGCAGTTAGATTTATGTCCAGACCGTCACAACTGAAGCCCGTTTATACTCGAAAGCTCCTGCGCCTAGACATTCACGGCGGACAGGTCCATGCGAATATATACACATATGGGGAGTTCCACGCAGTGAATAATTATTACTTGGGCGCCTCCTACTCTTTCTTCTCCCTCCTCCTCTTTTCTCCCCCCTCCTGTCGGACTTACTCATGTCTCAAGCGGGGCGCTGGTTGCAGCACCCCTGTGGGGAGCCGCCAGGGGTGGTTGCACGGTAAATAAATGCTCACCGTGGCACTATCCTCCAACATGACATGCACTTATGGTTTTGTGTGGCCAAACGCTCGCCTTACATATCCATTGCCAACTATCCTACAACATATGCACATGTGGGAAGCTCCAAAGCTACCACGGGCTGAAAAGGGGAAGGCCTGGCAGCTGAGGAGGGGGGATGAAAAGGAAGAGGCTCGCATTCAACCATACTCAAAGCTCACTCTGACTCATACGCAATCACTCGCATTAGGGGTCACTCGTCTTCGTCGGCCCTGTCGCCCACGTGGACGCGCTATTGTAGTCGACCGCTCATGAACAGACGTTCGCCACGGCATGACATAAAACATGAGATGCACATATGGGGAGCTCCACGCAGTGAGTATTTTTTTTTTTGGGGGGGGGTCGAAACGGTAGTGACCCCCTCCCCCGGTTTTTGGAGGGTGGGGGGGGTCAGGGAGGGGGGGGGGTTTTGCCGGGGGGTAGGGGTGGGGGGGGTGTCCAGCAGTAGGGGGGGGGGATTTTCGGAGGGGGGGGGACCTCCGGGTTCCGGAGGAAGAGGGGGGGGAAATTTTCCACAGTAAAGCGGCGGTGGATCACGGTCTCTCATTTCAAGGGAACAATGAAAAACCCCTCCCCGCAGAGGAAGAAGGGGGTTGAAGAGGGAAGGCGCCAAATCACTCACGCCCGAAAGGGCTGGGGGGGACTCCGCCTATCTGGACGCCCGACATGGGTACGGAAAGAATGGATACGATGCCCAGCAGCAGTTTCTGTTCATTTGGAACAGGACTCGCTGTCCGCGCCGCCGCGGCCTGTGTCCATTCGAGACAGAAGGCCGCCTGCCCAACAGCGGCCGCTGTTGGTTTGGGACAACATTCAGTGCCATTTCGGGCGTCCAAAAGGCCTAGAACGCGGGGCACAGGCAAACGGGCACATCCTGGGCACGAGCTCGGACCGGGCCACGCGGTCTTGCCAGTCGGGGCAAGCGGGCCCCCGTGGGGGGGGGGGTCCCAGGGCCAGGCTGCCTGGGCAGGAGGAGGAGAGGAGGAGGGGAGGCAGGAGGAGGAGGAGGAGGAGGAGGAAGGAGGAGGAGGAGGAGGAGGAGGAGAGGAGGCGGAGGAGGAGGGAGGAGGAGGAGGAGGAGGAGGAGGAAGGAGGAGGAGGAGGAGGAGGAGGAGGAGGAGGAGGAGGAGGAGGAGGAGGAGGAGGAGGAGGAGGAGGAGGAGGAGGAGGAGGAGGAGGAGGAGGAGGAGGAGGAGGGGAGGAGGAGGAGGGAAGGAGGAGGAGGAGGAGGAGGAGGAGGAGGAGAGGAGGAGTGGAGGAGGAGGAGGAGGAGGAGGAGGAGGAGGAGGAGGAGGAGGAGTAGGAGGAGGAGGAGCGAGGAGGAGGAGGAGGAGGAGGAGGAGGAGGAGGAGGCAGGAGGAGGAGGAGGAGACGAGGAGGAGGAGGAGGGAGGCGGAGGAGAGGAGGAGGAGGAGGAGGAGGAGGAGGAGGAGGAGGAGGAGGAGGAGGAGGAGGAGGAGGAGGAGGAGGAGGAGGGAGTTAGGAGGAGGAGGAGGAGGAAAAGAAGGAGGAGGAGGAGGAGGAGAGGAGGAAGGAGGAGAGGAGAGGCGGAGGAGGAGGAGGAGGAGGAGGAGGAGGAGGAGGAGGAGGGGCGCCCACATGGCAAGGACCCCTCGGGCGGACCGCGGTCAGTGGATGGATGGGCGGGCGGCCGTGTGCAGTGCTGGCTGCGCGGTGACGACCCCGATCATCACAGCGGGTGCTGGTTTCATTCGGGATCCGACTCCCTCCCTCGACGCTGTCGGACAGTGGGGGCACGCATCAAGACACCACATGCTCTTCGTCAGGGCATCCTGGGCTTCTTCGCTCCTCGCGCTGCGCGATGGCTTCCCGCAGCCGTTGGAGAAGCGGCTGCGTTCAGGATGCTCCAGGTTCCCCCCCGTGAGCATCTCGCGCGCGGGGTTTCAGGGCTGGGTTTCTTGCGGCCGCGTCCAGACAGCTCGCGCCTGCAATTGGCGGCCTGCCGTCCAGCAGGTGACGTAGCCCTCGAAAAACAAAGAAAAAGACGGGGGGAGAGTGTTGCGACGACGCCCCCTTCCTCCAGCCTCGTTCACTGCCCGAGATTATTTTCGGGTCGTCCTCCTCCCAGCCCGTGTGCAAGAGAACGGGGGGGGCAGCTCGCGGCGCGGGTTGGGCATGCGGCCGAGGCCGTCTTTTACCCGTTCGTGACGCTGACAGCACTGTTCAAGCCGTTCTCTGGTCAGCCCAGGCGAGGCCTTCCGCCTCGGGCACCAAAAAGGAGGACGAGCAGCAGGATGAAAGTGTGGAGTATGAAGGAGGTGGAGGACGAGGAGGGGCGCTAGATATCTTCAGTGCAGACGTCTCCTCGTGGCAGAACAACCGCAAGCCTCGTCGTGGAGATTTGGGTAGGGCGTCACCATTGTTCAACAGTTGCTTCGCTACGGCGAGACCGTGGCCTGCTCCCAGGCGGACGTAGCTTGCAATCTTTGCTCTTCCTGCCACTCGTCCTTCGCATTTTCCTCCTTCCCGTTCCCCCTCTCCTGCTTCACTTCCTCCCCCTCTCCCGCCCTTGCGTTCTCGCTCTCCTCTTCATCCCCATCCTTCCTCCTCTCCTATTCCTCCCCCTCTCCTATTCCTCCCCCTCTCCTTCATGTTTCCCACCTTATTCCCACCTATTTCCCCCTCCCCTCTCTCTATTCCTCTTCTCCTATTCCTCCCTCTCCCATTCCTTCATCTTTCCCACCTCCCCTCACGCGTGCTGACTCTCGGCGTCATCCACGGCCGCCTGGAGCCCACTGGGAGCCGCTGCGCTAACCCAGCCAGTGCTGGTCTAAAGGGGCCCCCTCGACAAACGAGCAGGGGTAGCCGCAGGTAATGGGAGGTCGCGGGAGGTAGGAGGGGGAGGCGTAGGAGGAGGGCGGGGATGCGATCTTCGGCGGATTGCAAGCCACATTGGGTGCGACTGAAATCGAGATTCGGATAAAACAGGGCAACGGAACCCCTTCGGGGGAAGAGGATGAGGAGGGGGTCCATGCCGCCCACGTGCGGATGGCGCCAGGAGCTCGCGCCGCATCGCCGGCGTATCGGCGATGCGGCGCGATCCAGTGCCCGAGGCGACGATAGGGGCGAGCAGCCCAGGGGAGAGCAATACGTGTATTCAGGTGCGCCGGTGATCTGTGTCTTCGAAACGGCTCCTGGGCGAATGCGTGTGATGCCCGCCCCTGGGCTGATCGCCTCCATCGTCGCCGCCGACAGTGCCCGATCTCCTCCGTCCAGGCGTCGCCGATGCATCGCCGCCGGTGCGGTGCGGCGCGATGCGGCGCGGCGCGGCGTGCTCGCGCGCCGGGCCTCGCGACGGCCGCACGCCGCGTGCCGTGCCGTGCGCGCGGCGTGGCGTGCCGTGCCCGCGTGCCGGGATGCGAGGAGCGTGCCGTGGCGTGCGCGTGCGCGCGGCGTGCTGTGCCCGAGGTCCTGCAGGATGCCCAGGGGTGTGTACCGTGCGCGTGCGCGCGGCGTGCGCGTGCCGTGCCCTGCCCGCGTGCCGTTCCGAGCGCGCGTGCCGTGCCGAGTTCTCGGGCGCCGTGCCGTCCGCTCACGCAGCGTTTGGTGTGTCAGGTCCCCGTGCCGTTGTGCCCATGTTGGTACTCCCCAAGCAGTGCTTGCACTCATGGGGTTCTTGCTCTTTCTTCTGGTCCGAGGAGCTGGGCCCGTGTGTCGGTCTGGCGGCTCCGTGCTGGCCGTCGCCGCCCCGTCGCCGCCTTGTCGCCGCCCGTCGCCTCGGCTTGCGTGTCGGTCTGGCAGCTCCGTGCCGGCCGTCGCCGCCCCGTCGCCGCCTCGTCGCCGCCTCGTCGCCGTTGCTTCGCCGCCCATCGCCGCCGTTGGATGTCCCCACATAGATTTCACGAACAAGATGTTGTTGTTTCTTTTATCGTTCCGAGCATCGGTTGCACCACTTGAATTGCATGATATTGATTTCACCACACACATGGCACGTCATATCTTGCACAACCGCATCTTTTGCACCACGTATATTGCACGACATATATCGTACCACGTAGGTCGCACAACATATGTGTATATATATATATATATGTACCTGTCGCATGCAAGGTGCTTAACATATCTTGTGCCACATATGTTGCACCACATACATTGCACCGCATCTATTGCCCTACGTCGATGGCACAATATCGGTTGCACCACATATATAAATATGTATATATACATGTGTATAGATAGGTGTGTGTGTAAATATATATGTTCGTGGTTCAACACAGGTTGCACCACATATGTGGCTTCACACATGTTGCGCTAGGTTGTGCCCTATACAGTGCACCACGTGTATATATATATATATATATATATATATATATATAGCTCCGCGTAGCTCGCATAACTTATCTTGCACCACATCGTTTGCACTACATGTTTTGCAAATCATAGATCGCACGACCAAGAATGCCCACCATACATTGCTCCACATACGTTTCAACACTTTCATTGCTCCACATAGAACAATTTTTGGGCTCCACGCTGGCTAACATATTGATGCGTATGTCTGTGTATACACATATGTTTATGCTTTGTGTGAGCAGGGGACAGGTGCGCAATAGGGTGTGCTGTGGACGATCAGCGGATGCTGGGAGTCTGGTGAGCTCTACACTTCCGTACCGCGTTTGCCAGTTCTTTTTCTGATGCGCCCGCAATGTTGTGGGAATGGGGAATCGAAGTGGTGAATTACACCGTCACGAAGACCGTCAGCACCAAGCACCACGAGAAGACAGCTGATGTTCAGAAGGGAAAAAGCACGCAGACACAATTCTTCGTCCACTCCGAGGAAAATATTGGAAAATATGGGAAGTGGGGGGGAAGACAAACACCCAGAAAATATGGAAAAATATGGGGAATCCTTTTATTCGTGTGTATTGGTTTGCGTGTCCCAGGGGCCCTTCGGATGTGCGTGCACGGCACGGCACGCGGGCACGGCGGGCTCGCCATGGCACGCCACGCGCAGCCTCCTCGCACCCTGGACGGCGGGCGCGGCGCGGCGCGCGGGCACGGCACGCCACACGGGTGGCAGCTTGGCGTCGGATCCCGACGCGCGGGCATGGCACGGCACGGCGCGCGGGCGGCACACCCGGGCCTGGCCTGAGAGGCCCCTACAGGACGCCCCCTCCCAGGAAGCCCCGTGAGGCTGCCAAGAGGCCCCCCCGGAGGCCCCAATAGGCCCCCCAAGGGGCCCCCAGGGAAGCCTCCCGCGGGCCCCCAAGGCACCTCGGCAGATCGCACTTCCTGGACAGCTTTCCAGGAGCGCGATTCTCTGCCTGTTGGAGAGCCTGGGCGCGGCACGCGGGCGTCGATGCCTCCCGCATCTGGGAACGCGGGCACGGCACCGCTCACGGCACGGCGCGCAGGGGGAACGCGCTTCGTATCCCACAGCGCGGGCGCGGGCACGGCTTGCGGGCACGGCACGGTGCGGTGCGCGGGCCCCCAGAGGTTTCGACCCCTTTCGGCCTCGGTTCCGGAGGTCCTTCCAGGAGTCTCCTGGAGCAGAACGCCTCCCGAATGGGAGCCGATGGGGTCGGAGGACCGCGCCACATCGCCAATGCTTCGCCGATGCATCCGCGATGTGCGGCACGTGGGGGGCTCATTTTTCGTCGGCAGGCGACGCGGACGGCATCTGTGTCGCCTTTTCGAACGTAGGATTAGGATGGGGAGGAGGACCCGCAGCCAACCGCGTGCGCAATAGAGGACGGGAGCACGGACTACGACAGTAACGTTTGGGTAGGCTCTACCCTTCGGGGAATCCCAGGTGCCCTCACGCTCCGTCGACCGCATGCGAAATAGGCTGTCTTGCGTGGGGCGTCCAACGCGCCAGGCTACGCTGCACCAGCACCACCTGCCAGCGCTGCCGCTCCCGATCCGCCGCGGCCATGGCAGACGGGGAGGAGCCCGTTTCTTTATTGCTTGGGGCATGACGGGCGTCATGGCCCCCGCTCCCCCCTCCCCCCTATGACGTAACGCTCCCCCCCCCAGTGCGCTCTGGGCGCTGCCGCCGTGCGCATTTGGGATCCGCGTAGGTGTCCGCGTAGGAATCCGCATAGGAGTCTGGTCCGCAGTCGTCGTCGTCGTCGTCGTCGTCGTCGTCGTCGTCGTCGTCGTCGTCGTCGTCGTCGTCGTCGTCGTCGTCGCTCGTGGCTCGTCGTTCGTCGCTCGTAGCTCATCGCCGTCGTGCGCGCGGACGCGGCTGGAGCCTGTTTTTTATTCCGGGCTTATGACGGCAATCATCTGGAGGGGGTGGAGGGGGTCGGTGACGTCACGTTTCGCGCCGGCGGCGTCTGGGAATGCCCAGGAATTGCGGAGGACGGGTAGCACCAGCATGTAGGTGGCGATATGCACCACAGCGCCTGTATACACCACAGTGCCTGCGTGCACCACAGCGCCTGTGTACACCACGCCGCCTATGTACACCACAGCTGCCGCGTGCAGCGCAGCGCCAGTTTGTGCCACCGTGCCTGCGGGCACAACAGTTCTTGTACACCGCAGCGCCTGCGTAAATCACATCAGCCGTGTGCAACGCAGTACCAGTGCACACCACAATGCCTGCGTGCATTGCATTGCCTGTGTACACCACGGCGCCTGTGTGCACCACAACCGTGTGCAACACAGCACCACTGTTGAAAATATAATGTTAGATGGAACCCTCATGACAAAATGGAGCGCTTGTGGACTCCACAGAAATAACAATCTTGGAATCCTTCTGGACAAAGGGGCGCCGTTGGAATCTGAGAGTCCTCCCGAGTCCGCCCGCATTTCCCTAGCTCCTCCCATCTGCGTCCAGGAGGCTCCACCTAAAGTGGCCGTCCGAGAACCAAGTGGACCGATTCAATAGATAAGTCTGCGGTGCACGCTGAAATGCGCACGTGCGCTGTAGCGCCAGCCCGCACGACAGGGTGTACGGAGGAGGAGGAGGAGGAGGAGGAGGAGGAGGAGGAGGAAGAGGAGGAGGAGGAGGAGGAGGAGGAGGAGGGGGAGGAGAGTTGAAGGAGGAGGAAGAAGAAGGAGGAGGGAAGAGAGGGAGGGGGGGGAGGGAGGAGGGGGAAGGAGGGGGGGAGGAGGAGGGGGGGAGGAGGGAGGAGGGATGGAGGAGGAGGAGGAGGGAGGAGGAGGAAGGAGGAGGAGGAGGAGGAGGAGGGGAGGAGGAGAGAGGAGGAGAGGGGGGGGGAGGGAGGAGGTAGGAGGAGGAGGAGGAGTAGGAGGGGAGGAGGAGGAGGAGGAGGAGGAGGAGGAGGAGGAGGAGGAGGAGGAGGAGGGGGAGGAGGAAAATGCGGTGGAGGTGGAGGAGGAAGGAGGAGGGAATAACGTCGCATTCGATAATCATCAGTTTCCTGGCAAGGCGCTTAGTTGTGCGCAGCAGATCCTCACGTACATGCTTCTTCGACCTGTCCTATGCACGCAGGCGCTGTGTGTGGTGTACACCAACGCAGCCTTGCACGCGGATGCTGTGGTGTAGACAGGCGGTGTGGCGTGCACAGGCGCTGCGGTGCACGCAAGCATTGTGGTGTACAGAGGCGCTGTGTTGCACATGGTTGCTGCGGTGTACACATGTACACCGGCGCTGTAGTGTACGCAGGTACTCAGGCGCTGCGTTGCACACGCTAGCTCCGGTGAGCGCAGGCGCTGTGGTGTACACGCGCGCTGTGGTGCACGCGAGCGTTGTGGTGTACACAGGCGCGGTCGGGCAGATCGCCACCTACATGCTGCTCGCGTCGTCGTCGTCGTCGTCGTCGTCGCTCGTCGCTCGTCGCTCGTCGCTCGTCGCTCTTCGCTCGTGCGCGTCGTGCGCGCGGGCGCGGCTGTTGTGCCAGAACCACACGGCGGGGGGGACGTTACGTCATACCCTCCCCCGCACCCTCCCCGCCCATGACGCCCGTCATCGCCGAACACCAAGAAGCGCGCTCGAGGGCGTCAGCCCAGGAGCCGCGTGGTAGGGGCCCAAGGGCGCTCTAGCTCTGGTGTGTCTGCAGGCGCCTGCTGCTCGCGGCTCCCCCTCCGCCGCGGCCGGTGGCCGCAGCCCGCATCTTCGACCGCCGTGCGAGTGCCCTTGTGCAGCGCGGGCTTGGCCCTCGACAGGGGTGGACCTCAACGGTGTTTTGGCGATTTTGTGGGTCGCTTCCGTTTCGATTCCGTTTTGCGTTACAGGCGGACTGAAGACAAAACGAGGGAAGACGACCACAAAACGATAACGAACAACGCCGTGTAGGTCCAGCCCTGACCCTCGACCGCGCCGAAGGCTCCCTGCCGCCGTCGGCAGGCGCCCCTTTCGGCCACCGCGCCGCCTGCGCCGCCGCCCGCGGCCCCGTCGCGCCGCCCAGCGCACCGCGCCGCGCCCGCCGTCGACGTGGCTGGGACGACCTGCGCGGGTGGCACGGGGGGCGACCTGCATAGGGGGCAGCCCGGCGCCTCCACCTCCCTCGGCTCGGGCCGCTCCGCCGCCCGGGTCGACGACGTCGGCGCAGGCGGCACGAGTTGCGTGGGGAGGCGACCCTTGCGGACCTCTTCGAACACTTAGGGCCTTCGACCACCCTGGAGTCGTTGTTCCTCCCATGTGTGCCTCTTCCCTCCAGCCGTCCTCCATTCTCCTTCTCCCTCCTCCCTCCTCCCTCCTTTCCCTATTCCCTATTCCCCTGGAGGGAGGAGGCCGAGGAGGACGGGAATCGGGAAGGCCCTCCTCAAGCCTCAAGCGGCGCCTCGAGCTGTGCGGACAGACCCGGAGAGGATGGAGATGAGGAGGGCCACACCGCATCCCTGCGCAGACTGGCGCTCATGGTGAACACGCTGACCAGATCGGCCAGCGACCTCGCGCACTTCCTGGTGGCGCCCCTCCTCTCTCCCTCTCGCCTTGCGCCCGGGCTCATATGAGGGATGGGATGGGTGAACGGCGGCCTTCGGCGGTCGCGGCCTTCGGTGGGCGCGGGGGGTCCAACGTCCAGGCGGGCATCGCCGCTGCCGCAGCACCGCGCACAGCGGTCGGCAGGCCCTGCCCCGCGAACGCCACCTCCTGCCCGGTGCCACATGCCACTCCTGCCAGCGGACGCCGAGGCGACAGGGGCAACGATAGGGGGGGGATAGGGCAGAGGGGGGGATGCATCGACACGCAGTCGACCATGGACCGCCGATGGGGGCCCGACAGCCCCAGCTTGCCCAGGGAGGGTGCGGGTTCGCCATCGGGGGCGCGTCGCCGATCTGTCGGCGGTGCACCGCCGATTCGTGCCCCTCCTGCCGAGGCGGCAGGGGGGGACCTGGGCCTCCGAGCAAGCCCGATGGCCTCTCGAGCCCCCAGCCGCTCCCCGGAGGCTTCGATCCCCCCTGGGGGCCAGCCTCGATGCCCCCTCGATCCTCGGCCCTCCTCGATCCTCGATGCTCCTCGATCCTCGATGCTCCTTGATCCTCGATCCTCCTCGATCTTCGATCCTCCTCGGTCCTCGATCCTCCTTGATTCTAGATGCTCTTCGAGCTTCCATGCTCCTCGATCCTCCCTCCTCCTTGATCTTCGATGCTCGTCGATCCTCGATCCTCCTTGATCCTCCTCGATCTTCGGTGCTCGAGCCCGGCGCCCCCCCCCCCCTGCAGGGCATCCGGGACGCCAACGGTGGTGAAAAAACGTCCGAGCGCGATCTCTCGGGCCGCCGTGCAGGTCTGAGCTCAGGGGTCCGGGTTTCCGCCCTGTCCGTCCCCTGCCCCCCTTCCCCCGTCTCCTCTCCCCCCTCCCCCCACCCCCTCTCCCCCCCGCGCTCAGAGCACGGACGATCGTCCCAGGTCAGCGTCCTACCCTGCCCTCCCCCCCTTGCCACCCTCTCTCTCCTCCGACGTGCTCCCTCGCGGGCCCGAAGGCTCTCGGCCGCATCCCCAGGCCTTCGGCTTCCGTCTTCACGAGCCGTCTCCCGAGGTGGGCCCCCCCCGGGACGAGGTCCAGCCCCAGACCTGCCCCGGGGCGGGCCTTTTGCAAGGGCGTCGAGGGACTGACCCTGGCGGCGGAGGAGGAGGAGGAGGAGGAGGTGGAGGAGGAGGAGGCGGAGGAGGAGGCGGAGGAGGAGGCGGAGGAGGCGGAGGAGGCGGAGGAGGCGGAGGAGGAGGAGGAGGAGGAGGAGGAGGAGGAGGAGGAGGAGGAGGAGGAGGGCGACGAGGAGGAGGAGGCGGAGGAGGACTGGAGGCCCAGAAGGAGGCCCAGCCGCGCCCCGAAGCTGTGGATCTTCGCGCTGTCTTCTCCCAGCCGTCCCGTGTGAGTGGGGCCCGCGACGTGAGGCGGCAGCGCCGCGCCCCGCCTCGGGTCGGATGCCTCGATTCTCGAGCCCCCGCCGGCCTGAGCACTGCTGTCGATCCTCGATTCCTAACCTCGGAACCCGGAACATGTACATTACCAGTGGCGGGCTGTTTTTCAATCCTAGGACTTCTTGAGGGTCGGGGACGACGCTGGGGTGGTGTGGTGTATATTTTTTTCCCCGATGTCCCGGGGAAACAGCGAAAAATGTACACACCAGGGTCCCGTATACACCAGGATCCGCTCTCCAGTGCAAATTTCAATGCAGGGCCGGAAAAAGCGTCGGTGTATAGAGTTCGATTCCTTGTAAACCCCCTATCCCATGCGTGCCCGCTCGAGGATCGCGGCCCTCCCGCTCAAGAATCGCGCCCCTCCCGCGCGGCGGCTAATGCCAAACCCGCTCATTCCATGCGAGCCCGCTCGAGGATCTGCGCTGCTGCGGCGCCGCGCCCCACCTCCCCCACCTCCCACCTCCTCCTCTCAGGAGGAAGAACGCGTGCACAGAAGATCACCGGAGGTGGCCGAGAAAGGTGTGGAGGAGCAGACGAGCATCCAGAGAGATGATATGGGAGCATATGTTCGGGGTTTATGGGGTTCGTGCCTTGTTGGTTTGTGCCTCCCTGGGCCTCCCTCCTCCTCCTCCTCCTCCTCCCCCTCCTCCTCCTCCTCCTCCTCCTCCTCCTCCTCCTCCTCCTCCCCTCCCCCCTCCTCCTCCCCCTCCTCCTCCTCCTCCTCCTCCCCTCCTCCTCCTCCCCCCTCCTCCTCCTCCTCCTCCTCCCTCTCCTCCTCCTCCTCCTCCTCCTCCTCCTCCTCCTCCTCCTCCCTCCCCCTCCTCCTCCTCCTCCTCCTCCTCCTCCCCCTCCCTCCTCCCCCTCCTCCTCCCCCGCCTCCTCCTCCTCCTCCTCCTCCTCCTCCTCCTCCTCCTCCTCCGCCTCCTCCTCCCTCCTCCTCCTCCTCCTCCTCCTCCTCCTCCTCCTCCTCCTCCTCCTCCTCCTCCCCCCCCCCTCCTTGACCTTGCTCCTGCTGCGCCCGCCTGCCTGCCAGTCCCCCGCCCGCTTCCCTTTCCGCTCGGGCACCCCGCGTTCTCTCGGGTGCGTGGGCCCGGCCCCTGCCCCGGCGCTGCTCCCCCGTCTCTCGGGCCGAGTAAAAGTTGGGGGCCCCCAAACGGTGCGGTGACCACAACGTGCGGTGAGTCGGTGGGGATTCGGAGTCACCGCACGGTTTTGGGACTCGGGTCGCTCTCCGAGGATGTCTCGGGCGACAGGGGCCTCCGAGGTCCCAAGACCGTGCGGTGACGGACCGTGCGGTGAGGTCTTGGGGGATGCCGAGGTCACCGCGCGGTCTGTCACCGCACCGTTTCGGGACTCCCAAGAAAGGGGGAGAATGGGAAAGGGGGGGGTACGAAATCTGCTGCATGCAGCTTGTTTCGGCCCCGCCGAGGGGCCCATTCCTCGATACATGTCGCCTCTGGCGCCGGGAGGCGCCGGGAAAGTCAGCTACGTGAGCTGATTCTCAAGCCCCCCTTGTGCCATCCCCCCCTTTCGCCCGGCCCGATCCTCCTTCCCCTCCTGCGTCCGCTGGCTGTCGCCCAAACGGACAGCCCCGTCGGGGGCCTCCTGCGGTAGGCGGACACCCAGGCCTGCTGGCCAAGGCAGGATAGCTGGGCCGGGCCGGCCAGTTATTGAATCGCTTCGCTCATGCCGCCGGCCCTGGAGCCCTCTTTAGGGCCTCTTGGGGGCCTCTTGGGGACCTCTTGGGAGTCTCTTGGGGCTCCTTGGCAGCGTTTTGGAGGCCCCCAGGGCCTCTTGGGGGGCTCTTGGGGGTAGTCGATTGCGGCTCCCCCCTCGGAGGCCACGATCCTCGTGAGGGGTGTCGAAAAATACCCTCCCCTGGAGTGGTCTGGTGGCTTCTCCCGGGCTTCTCTCGGGACCTTGCCGGGGTACTTTTCGTCCGGGGGCCCCCAGGGGCCGCTCCGCGCGCGCGAACTAGAAATATTGTTAACAAGTTACCGGAGATCTTAGCACGCCTCTGGCCCGTTGGGCCGGCGAATTCTACCTTCCACTCCTCACACGGATCGTGGCCATACGGGGAGCTCCTGCGAAGGCCCCAGCGGGTGCGTCCACTCTGATGAACCCGGGTTAGCAAACCCCTGATCTGAGAGGCGCTTGTGCTTTTCAGCGGTGATCCTCAGTGGACTGGGCTTTCCTATCGCCAGAGCAGAACAGGGATGCAGGCAGGGGAGGGGGGGGGGAAGGGAGGGGAGTGGAGGGGAGTGGAGGGAGGGGGAGCCCTCGCAGGGAAGAGGGCCCTTTCCGTCGCCCTCCCGACCCAGGTGGTCTTTCTCACGATCTGCTTCATCTACATCGTTGCCGCGATGCTGCTCTTCGGCCAGGACCAGCCGGCCGCGGGGCTCGGTGGGGGAGGCCTCGCTGTCGAATGGCGCGCGTGATTGTCTTGTCGCTCTGGAGGGGTGTCTCTGGCATGCACGTGCGGTGCAGGCAAGATGCTGGAATAAGGTCCGCGGTGGGCTCAGGAGGGGCTCGGGTTTTCGGGCCGTTCCCCAGACTTATGTCGTTGGATCCGCTTGTGGCCTAAGTCGCAGGTTTGCTGTGGCCGGAAAATCTTCTTCGTCCCTCACAGCCAACGCGGATAGCAAGGATGAGCGATTTTCCCAGGTTGCCTTTGCATCCTTCCCCTTCGGCCCATCCTCGGCCACCTTCTCTGGCCGCGCCCTTTTTTATGATTTTCTTTTAAAGTTTCGACATGGCCTTCCAAGGCCCTTGCACCCGTATCCTGATTGTGCGGTTTGACTGTATTCAGCGCTCCTTCTGGCAGCCTGGTTGCAGTACGTATCTGTAGGCTCGCCTCGCTTGCGGGGCGAACCGCTCCCCGAACTGCTCGGTCGCGCGCTGCGCTGCGCCCGCCGATGCGGTTCGATCCCGACGGCGCCGATGCATCGCCGACGTTGCCCACGCATCAGCGATGCGTCGACGATGCATCAGCGATGCCGCGCGATCCTCCCCATTTACTCGGGCCCCATCTGAGAGACCTCTCAGCCACGCGCAGAGGGGGGTAGGGAGAGGGGGGAAAGCTTCTCAGGAGCACCCTGCTTCGTAAAGGGCGCGGGCATTGTCTATAGACGCAGGGCCGGCGTCTGCTAAGAAACGGCCTCCTTCTGGGAAGCCTTCCCCCTCACTCTGCCCCCTAGGAGCGGTTGCTGAGGTGGGTTGTAGCTGGTCTCATAGCTGGCAAGGCCTCGCTTATGAGTGGGTGAAGAGTGGTTGCTGAGGTGGGTTTTGGCTGGCCTGACCTAAGTACCTCATGACGTGGTGCGTGTAGCTCATTGGCAGTCTGCGTGTGCCCTTGGCAGTTTGAGATGATTGGATAGCTCCGCTAAGTGGGCTCCGCCGACTTCGACCGGATCCGCACCCCACCTTAACCACGTAGGGAAAATTGAAACCACTCATTAGGTTGGTTCGGCTAGATGTATCCCACCTTATCATGCGCTGCTGACCCCCTCATCTCCTCAGCGTCTCCAGCTGTGATCTCATTAGTTTCCTCCCGTGATAACGCAAACCCTCCTGAAACCCTTGAGGAACCCTACGAGGAACCTCCCGGAACCTTCCAGGGAGGGCTTTGATAGGGGAATGTTTCGGTCGCTTCTGGGGAGGACCAGTCCCTAGCGAACGCTGGACTTCCAACCCTAGCTCCTTTGATTCTGCGGGTCTTTCGAACTGGGTCCATCCGCGAGGGTCCCAGGGTACGAAACAGGGCGAAATCGTCAGTTGTGACAGGAGTGCGAACGCCAGGATCTCAGGGCCAGGAGGACAGGATCGGATCGGAACTGTCGGCGGTGCAGAGCTCCATGTCCCAGGTCCTAAGGTCTTGAGGGCGGGCCGGAGGAGCGGGCGAGGCAGGGGAGCAGCGGACGGGGCGGGTGGCGGCGCCAGCCCACGCTGAGGGGGGGAGGCTGGAGAGGGAGCCAGTGGGGCATGGCACTGGGCCTTGGCTTTCCAGTGATCCGCCCAGGGTTCAAGCAGTGGCGAAGCGTCCTGGCTCGCCTATAGGCCTACCAAACAATGTTCTGAGAACCTTTCGTGGTTTGCACGAAATGTTCTTAGAACATTTCTGGCTGAGTCTGTCTTGTTTTGACACATCCGGTTTATGTTCTATGAACAGTGTTTTCTCTCTTAGAACATTTTTGGTTTCTAAGAACATGTCGTTGCAGGCCTATAGGAATGCCAGGACGGTCGGTCCCTGCTCAAAGGGTACGGCAGGTGCGTGTCGTGTCGACGCGGCCGCGACCACGCCTCAGGCGCTCGAGGTCCACTGCCACCGGTGGCCCAGGATCGTCCAACATGGAAGGGCCTGGCAATCGAGCAGCCGCCGATCGTTTCAGGTTCGCGGTGTCAGAAACCAAGGCCGGCGTCGTCACGACACGAACCTGGCGTACCGAGGAAATCCTGGAGCCTCGTGCGGCGCGCTAGTTGTTCTATCTAGTCCACACGTCTGCCGTGCCAGATATGGGGCGACGTTCGCGCGGCGATGTTCGACGTAAGTTCGACGTGAATCCGACGCAAGTCCGACGTGGATCCTGGGTGGATCCGACGTAACGTGGGTCTCAAGTTGCCGCGCAAAGCTTCCAGGCTTTTTTCATGACCACGCAGGGGCTCGCCTCTCTGAAGACGTCCCTCCGATTCTGAACTCCGGCCGGTCTTGCAGAAATCTGACCCTGCAGAGCTATTTCGGGTTCACATGCTGCTGCCCAGCGGGGGCGCCAGTGGCCACTCACAAGTGCACTGGGAGTGTCGTCTCGAGGGCAACGACCGGGGTGGGGTGGCCTGGGCGGGGGGGAAGCATCGGCCCCCCGGTCGCTCGCTCGTCGCAGAGTCGGGACCCGGGCCCGCCTTCCCGCACGGGAGCGTGCGGTGTCGCCATCGGGGGGCTGTCGCCGATGTATGCAGCTGCCCGCGGTAAGTCCTGCCACCGTTCCAGCCCAGCACCTCGGGGTGGCGAGTGTCAGGAAGGCGCAGTGCGTCACACCTCGTGTCCCGAGGCGTGGGAGAACCGTAACACGTGAGGCACTTCCTGCGTCTTGTCGATGTTGAAAGTGGGTCTGAACATGAACATGATCAAGCTGATGAAGATGACGACGATGATGATGCTGCTGATGATGATACTGATACTGTTGCTTATTTGTACTGCCAGTACTGGTCTGCCTATACTGTTCATGGTGATTGGAGCAGATTGTAATAAGGATATGTTGATGATGATGGTGATGATTATTATTATGATGATGACGATGATGATGATGATGATGATGAACATGATGATGATGATGATGATGATGATGATGATGATGATGATGATGATGATGATGACGATGACGATGATGTCGAAGATGATGCTGATGATAACGATGAGGGAGAGGAGGAGGAGGAGCAGGACACTGATGGTACACATTATGATACCGTGGCGGATGTTTTAATGATGGGGGGTGCGGCGGGAGAGGAGGAGGAGGAGTAAACGATGACGGTGGTCAGAGTGACGATGATGACGATGATGCTGACGATGACGACGACGATGCTGCTGCTGATGATGGTGATAATGGATGATGATGATGATGATGATGATGATAATGATGATGCTGCTGATGATGATGACGATGACGACGATCATGATGATGACAATGATGCTGATGATGATGGTGAATGAGGACTCTGATCATGATCATGATGCTGCTGCTGATGCTGACCGTACTGATGGTCATGATAGCGGTATGATGGTGACAGTGATGCTGATGATGGTTCTTTATGATGATGAGGATGACGAGGGTGCGACTGATGATGATGACGACGATGACGACGATCATGATGATGCAAATAGTTGTGATTGTCATGTTGTTGATTAGGGTGTTGATGATGTTGCGGATGCTGGTGCTGCTGATGCTGATAATTATGATGATGACGATGAGGAGGCGGACGATGATGCTACTCATGGTGATGATGCTGACGATGATGATTTTGGGGATGACGATACTGCCGATGCTGATGATGATCATTATCATCATGACAACGAGGGTACTGATGGTGATATTGATGATGATGATGATGATGATGATGATGCTGATGATGATGATGATGATGATGATGATGATGCCGAGGATGATGATGATGATGATGATGATGATGATGATGATGATGATGATGATGATGATGATGATGATGATAATGGTGATTCTGCTGATTCTGATGTTGATACTGATGCTGCTGTTGTGAATCAGGATAATGAGGGGTGATGATGGTCTGGCTGTTTAATGGCTAGCACGATGGCTAGGATGATGGTATTGCCGATGATGGTGTTGCTGATTACCTTTGTGATCACGGGGGTGATACGGATGCTGACGCTGATGCCGATGATGATTATTCTGATGCTGATTCTGCTGATGATGATTATTTCGATACTGGCGATGATGGTGATGCTGGTGATGATGCTGATGCTGATGCTGCTGCTGCTGAGGATGATGATGCTGATTCGTATTCTGATGCGTATTGGTGCTGTCATGGCAGGTCGGCGTATACCAGTCATGGTGATTCAAGACGATGCTCATGAGATATCTTGCTGTTGATGATGATGGTTATGATGCCGACGATGCTGTTTATGATGATGGTGATGAGGAAGAGGAGGCGGATGCGTAGGAGTAGGACGGTGATAATGCACAATACGATACCGAGGCGGATCTTGCGAGAATGAGGAGTGCGGCGGACGAGGAGGGTGAGTAACATGATCACACTGGTCGTTGTGACGACGACAATGCTTATGATGATGATGCTGATGATGCTGATGCTGATGATGAGGACGAAGCTGACTGTGGCGACGACGACGATGCTGCTGTTGATGATGCTGATGATGGTGATGACGACGATGATGATGCTGATGATGCTGGTGATGATGAAGCTGCAGATGATGATGATGATGATGATGATGATGATGATGATGATGATGATGATGATGATGAGGATGGTGCTGCTGCTGATGATGATGCTGCTGATGATGAGTGTACCGCTGGCCAGAATTACAGTGGTGATGATGGCGGCGATGGTGATGCTGCTGATGATGATGATGATGCCGATGATGATGCGGATGATGATGACGCGACTGATGATTATGCTGATGATTGACATGTTGATGGTGAGGGTGTTGACGATGCTGTTAATGCCGATACTGATGCTGCTGATGTCGATACTGATGCTGCTGATGATGGCGAGGCGGCGTCGGATGATGACGCTGATGCTGATGATGATGATGATCATGACGATGTTGACGACGACGATGCTGCTGCTGCTACTGATGACGACGACGGAGATGATGATGACTGAGGGTCATGATAATGCTGCTGATGCTGATGCTGATGAGGATGATGCTGCTGCTGTTGTTGATGGAAATGCTCATGCTGACTGTACTAGTGGTCATGATAGCAGTGGCGATGCTGACGGCGATGGTGATGCGGCTGGTGATGCTGATGATGAGGATGATGAGGATGCGAATGATGACGATGACGATTCCAACGATCAAGATGATGATGATGTCGCTGATGATGATGATGCTGATGGTGATGATTAGGGTGTTGATGATGCTGCCGATGCTGATGGTGCTACTGCTGATGATTCTGACGAGGAGAAGGCGGTTGATTAGGCTGCTGCTGATGATGCTTCTGATGATGACTATGCTGATCATGCTGATGCTGATGATGACGATGATGCTGATGCTGACGCTGATGCTGCTGATGATGGTGATGATGAGGACGATGTTGATGCTGCTACTGCTGATTGAGATGGATGATGATCACGAGGATGATGCTGACTGTCATGATGATGCTGATGATGATGATGACGATGATGCTGATGCTGTGGTTGAAGACGAGAGATGGTGCTGATATTGCCGTTTGAGGGTGTTGCCTGACGTTTCTGATGACTAGGATGATGGTGTTGCCGATGATGGCTTTGCTGAGTACCTTTGTGATACAGTTGATGATGATGATGATGCTGCTGCTGATGATGATGATGATGATGAGGATAATGATCGCGATGGTGATGCTGATGATGGTCATGATGATGCTAATGATGATGCGGCTGATGGTGATGCTGATGCTCATGATGATGCTGCTAATGCTGATAAGGATGACTGACGCTGATGCTGCTGATGCTGATAATGATGATGATGATGCTGGTGATGATGAAACTGATGATGCTGATGCTGTTGATGATGCTGATGATGATGATGATGCTGATGATGAGGGTGATGATGGTGATGGTGATGATGATGCTGCTGCTGCTGATGATGTTGATGATGATGATGCTGATGATGCTGCTGATGATGATGATGCTGATGATGATGCAGATGATGATGCTGCTGCTGATGATGATGATGATGCTGATGCTGATGCTGATGCTGATGCTGATGCTGATGCTGCTGATGATGAGGATGATGATGATGCTGATGATGACGCTGATGATGCTGATGATGACGCTGATGATGCTGATGCTGATGCTGATGCTGATGCTGATGCTGATTTTGATAGTGGTGTTGGTGGTGGTGCTTGTGGTTGTGGTGGTTGTGGTGGTGGTGCTGGCGGTGGTGGTAGTGTGGGGGTGGGGGGGCGGGCGGATGGCTGGGGGGTCGAGGAAGAGGTGGAGGAGGGGCAGGAGGAGGACGCAGAAGGCCATTCCATGTGGGGAGCTCTCATGGAGCTCATTTGGGCCGTCTTGGGGCTGCCTTGGCTCATTTTGGATTGTTTTGGAGGTCCCTTGGGCCACTTGAGCCGTCTTGGCGCCCTCTTTGGCCGTGTTGGGGCTTTCTTGGGCCACCGGGGGGCCGTCTTGGCCGTCTTGGGGATCTCGTGCGGATGTCGCGGGGCCGTTTTGGGGCTGTCTTGAGCCGTTGAGGACCTCTCTAGCTGTCTTGGTTCCTCTGGAGACCATTCTTGGGCCAGCTTGGAGGCTACCTTGGAGAATTATCGGGCCACTCTAGAGCCCTCTTGGACCGTCCTGTGGCCATCTAAGATGCCTCTGAGGTCGTCTGGCGCTGAAGAAAGCCCGAACCAGTGAAGATACCCAAAGCTTGAAAACACCTGAGGTACATATATGATGTTGCATCTTTGGGCCCTGCTCGGGGTAGTACTCTAGTGGCTCGCTTGGGCCGTCTTGGGGGCCTCTTGGGATTTCTTGGGGCCATGTTCGGCGGCCTTGGGGGTCATTTTTTGCCGTCTTGGCGACCTCGGACTCACAGGAGAGAGGACCCATTCTGCTTTTTTCAAGGGATCTTGGCCTCGGGAGTGCGCATTCGTTTTTTTTACGAGGGGTCGTGGCTTCGGGACTGTGGATCAATGTTTTTCAATTGGGAGCAGGGGTGGCGATGCATGGTACGAAGTGTGCTGCGTGCGGATTGGTGCCCCTTAGAAGATTGCAGAAGCCCTGCTAGACAGCACTTAGCATGCAACCACGCCTAATCGCGCCAGGTGGCACGGTGGTGGATCGGCGATGCATCGCCGCTTCCAAGCTTCCGAGTCAATGTTCCCCCCTCGATTCAGTCCACCATTGTAGTTCCCCTCACAGATGGGGTGCGGCTCGAGAAGCCCGTTGGGACGGGAGAGGCCAGGTGTCGTTCAGAGAGCCTTGGCGTGACGGCTTCATGAAAAAGGACGCAGCCGGCGTTTCCGCCCCGGACTCGCCGAGAAACAGCAAATTGCATAAACATATTTGTTCGGAGATCCGTGCGGACTTCTGAGATAGTCGTTGGGACCCCCCTCGCGGCGCTTGCGGCGCCGCCCCTGGCGCGCTGCCCGCGCCAGCAGGGGGGTCTATCGTCGATCCAAGAGATCCGCGCGGACCTCCGAGACATCATGTCTGTGCCGTTTTTGTATCCTCTACTGCGGGCCTCGGTGCCCGCACTCGTGTATCTGGCTCAAGAGAGAGGCGACGGATATCCATGTATATGTATATGTCTGTCTGTCGGTATGCATGTATGTATGTGTGCAATCTATGTAGGTGTGCATGTCTGCATGTATGCATGTATGTATGTATGCATGCATGCATGTCTGTATGCATGGATGTATGTATGTATGCACGTTTGTATATATATATATGTATGGATGTATGAATGTATGTATGTATGCATGCATGCATGCATGTATGTATATATATATATACATGGTCCAGGGCCATTGGGCCCCCCCCCCGCGCGATGGTCCCCCCCGCCCCCCCTGTGGGCGTGGCGTGGTGCTGCGCTGCGGTGCCCCCCCCCCCTGTGGATGTGGTGTGGTGCTGTGGTGGTTCAGAAGTGGGCGTGGCGTGGTGCTGCGCTGCGGTGCCCCCCTCCCCCCCCCTGTGGATGTGGTGAGGTGCTGTGGTGGTTCAGAGGTCGTCGTCGTCGTCGTCGTCGTCGTCGTCCTCGTCGTCCTCTTCGTCCTCGTCGTCCTCGTCGTCGTCGTCGTCGTCGTCGTCGTTGTCGTCGTCGTCGCCGTCGTCATCGTCGTCATCGTCGTCGTCGCCGCCGCCGGCGTCGTCGCCGCCGCAGCCGTCGTCGTCGTCGTCGTGGTGGTCGTCGTCGTCGCTGTCGTCGTAGTCGTCGCCGTCGTCGTCGTTGTCGTCGTCGTCGTCGTCGTCTCTGGGACCATACCATCTTGGGGGTTGGGCGTGAACCCTCGACCCTGGATCATATATGTATATATGTATGTATGCATGTATTTACGTATGTACGTATGTATGTATGTATGTATGCATCCATGTATGCATGTATGTATGTGTATACGTATATGTATGTGTATATGTATGTATGTATGTATGTATGCATGCATGCATGCATGTATGTATGTATGTATGTATGTAGGTAGGTATGTATGTATGTAGGTATGTATGTATGTATGTATGTATGTATGTTTGTATGTACGCATGTGTGCCTGTCTATGTGCGTATGCATTTATGTATGTGTGTATGTGTGTATGTGTGTATGTATGTATGCATGCATGCATGCATGCATGCATGTATGTATGTATGTATGTATGTACATATGTAGGTAGGAATGTCTGTCTGTACGTACGTACGTTTGTATGCATACATAGATAGGTATACATGCATTCTCACATTTATATATAGGTGTGTGCATATCAGTCTCTCTAGATGTGTGTATGTATACATACATAAAGATGGGCGCCGAGGTTTATGGACACGCTTTGTGACGACGCTGCGAAGCTTCTCCGCGACGCCGCATCTTTGGGAAAGCCGTTCGGGAGTGCTACCCGAGGGCGACGTCGCAAGGACTCTGATGTTCTGTTCTGGAGCTCGTGGAGCGCTTTGCTGACCCCCCGCCCTCCTGCGCGACTGCGGCACGATGTGACGCGTGGAGCCTTTCTTTTCTGGTCTTTCTTCAGTACCCCCTTGCTGGCTCACTCAGAGTTGCAGCATCCGTCCCAGCGCACTGCTTCTGTTCTCGCTCTCCGCTGAGCCGTCGGCGTTCTCTGGACGCGTTTTTTGATGGCCTGCCACTCCATTGTTCCACTCTCTGTCCCTCTGTTAGTCTTCCCGGCACCCGAGGAGATTAATTCTTTCTCAAGCTTCTGGAGGGCCACCATCGCTGTGTTCCAGTGTCTGGTCGGCGATGTCGATTGGGAGGAGATGATCAAAGTTGGAAGGACCCGTTTCGTGCATACGTGGCAGGAGAAGTGCAGAGGGAGGGAGCCCAGTATGCTTGGCCTTGCAGGATTATTGGACGGAGACATGATGATCTCTTGAGCGTGGCCCATGTTATCGGGGGATAAAGACACACGTGTCAGGAACACTGCAGAGGGAGGGTGCTCGGTATGCATGGCATTGTAGGGGGAATATTGGACGTAGACGGGACGGTCTTTCGAGCGCGGCCAACGTTATCGGGCAGGCCATTGGCCTGCCTTCGTGGACGAAAACATATCTGTATCCGCGGCCTTGTGGGCCGGCGGGCCATGGGGCCGCGACCACGCGGAGACGGGGCGTTTTTTTTTCTTGGAGGACCCGCGCGGTACGTATTTGTGCGACTGCGTATCCGCGGGGTCGCGCCCAGGAAGCCAGACCCTGGCGGCGCGGATATACGTATATGTATACACATACATGTATATGTCTCTATGTGTGTATATATAGGTGTTCGTCGCGTGTGATGTGTTTCTTTCAGTGGTCATGCGTGGGTTTGGCTATCGCTCTTGCACCTGAACGCACAATCTGCTGTCGGCTCCGTGGCCGCTCGGTCTCGAGCCAAGAGAGGCCTCTCCGCGAATCCCTCGGGCTCTTGGTCTTCCGCCTCGGAGTCTGGCAGATGGCGGCACGGGGTGGGTGGGTGGGCAGCGCTCGAGGTGGCAGGCGTCTCCAGCGGATCATGTCCAGGCGAGGGCCGTCCTTGAGACCCAGCCCCTATCCCATCACTGCCCTCTCCCCCCCCGTCCTCCGACTCCCTTCTCCCCCCCCGCAAGTACGGTCACAATTCACGCTATGAGTGCCGCTTTCCACGCTAGGAGGAGGACGAGGACGTGGTGGCGGAGGAGGAGGAGGATGAGGAGGAGCGAGGACGGGAGCTTAGAGAGGGATGACGAAGAGAGCTGGGTCCAGCCCCGCTCCCTCAGGGCCGAGGCCGTCGTCTGGTACATCTCGTTCCAGGTCGTCACCGTTCTCATCGCACTGAACATGCTCATGGCTATCGTCATGGACCGTGGGTGGGAGGGAATAAGCCACACCGATCTTCGATGCCCTTCCTTCTGTTACGCATCTTTCGGGGACCTCCTGGGGGTTGGCCCCCGTCGCCACTGCCCGGCTCGCTTCGCAATCCTGGGCAGAACTCCCCCTGGGAGGGGTTCCTGCGGGGGCAGTGGCATGGGCACTCTGGGTTCCAGTCGCGCCGAGGGGAGACCGCAGGCAACTGCCGGAGAAGGGCCCAGGCTTGCAGGCTCGCTTGGGGGCTCCAGCTGGCGAGCGCATCGTCAGCGTGCGGTGTCGGGCTGGGCACGGCGCAGTGAGGTGGAGGACGAAAGCAGCGCAAGGACGGGCAATTAGCGTGAGATGAGATGCGCGGACCCGGGACCCGCTCATGTTTTTGCCCCTCGTCTTCTTTTCGGGCCTCTCGTTTTTATAGTTGCGTTCGGTTTCTGGATCTCTTTGCACGTCGTTATTGCCTTTCCTACTCCCGCCCCCTCCCCTCCCTCCTGCCTCCTCCTTCTCCTCCACCCTCTGTTTCCTCCTCCACGTCCTCCTCCACGTTCTCCTCCACGTCCTCTTCAACCTCGTCCTCCACGTCCTTCTTCCCCTCCTCTTCCTTCTCCTGCTCCTCCCCCTCCTCCTCCTCCTCCCGACCACTCCCTCGCTTCCCTCCCTCCCCTGCTTCCTCTCTCCACCCTCCTCCTCCTCCTCCTCCTCCTTTGCCTTCTCCTTCTCCTTCTCATTTTCCTTCTCCTTCCGCTTCTCTTTCCCCCCCTGCGCCCGGCAAAGGGCAGTGATGTCCGCTCTTCGCTCCACATTCTGGCCCGCTTCTCGATGGTCAGGGCTGTGGGACTCGTCGTCGTCGTCGTCGTCGTCGTCGTCGTCGTTGTCGCCTTTTCTCTTTTCAGGGCCTCTCCCCCACGTGAGGGGCTCGCCACAGGCTGAGTTCTGCGTTCCCTCCGTCTTCCCCTCGCCTTGCCTTCTCCTGCTCCACCTTCCTCCTTCTCTCCCCCTTACTCTTGAGTCGGGACTGTCCCTCTATAGGGGGAATCTTCAAAATAGTTAAACATAAATCTGGGGACGATTAGCTGAGTATTGGTTTGACTATTTTTGGTTTTGGTTTGAATAGTTTAATTTTTCGTTCCCGACCTAAGCTTACTCCTCCCGTTCCTCCCTCCTGCTGCCTCCTCCTACGATCCCCCACTCCTGTCGCTTCTCCTCCTCCCTCTCCCTCCGTCCCTCCCTCCGTCCCTCTTTCACCTTTGCAGTCCTCCTTCCATTAACCCCTCTTCTCCCTCCCTCCTCCCCCCCCCCTCCCCTGTACCCGCTCTCCCTCCTCCATTCCACTTCCTTTAATGATTCTGAACGTTTCGCGTGTCCCACTGGTCCATCCTGGAACGATGCCTATGGGAGCTGCCCTTGTCGGGGGAGCGTCGTATCATTTGGCTACCTGGAGGAGCCTCAGTGGACTAGAGAAGAGGCCCCTCGGAGTCGATTTGGATGTGTTCTGGGAGACTCTTGGTGGCCTCTTGAGGTATCTTGGGGGCCTCGTGGGGTCTCTTGGGGACCTCGTGGGGCGTCTCGGGGGCTTCTTAAGGGGCCTCTCGGGGGCCTCTTGGGGCCGTGTAGGGGACCTCTTTGGAGCCTTTGAGGCCTTCTTGGGATCACGTTGGACGACACCGATCAAAGAAGGGGATCCTCGACTAGCGTTGCCCCTCCAGCTAAAGTCGGCTCTTGAGTCTCTTAGGGCTCTCTTAGGGCGCTCTCGGGCGCTCTTGGGGCCACCTTGGCGCTCTTTTGGGCTCCGCTTGGGTCTGTCTTGGGCCCTCTTGAAGCCATCCATCTCTAAGATTCGGAAGGCCATCGGAAGCGACCGGGCCATAATACCAACATACCTTGATTCCTCTCGCTTCGCGGGGTGCACGTCAAGAGCACATAAAGACTTGGCGTTGGGGGTGGTTTGCCCTGCTCGTCTGCCGCGATGTTCTGCCGTGCCGTTCTGCTCGCCCCAGAGCACGGGGGGGATGAGGGGGGCGATGCTCCCCCCTGTTTCAGCGCCATGAAGAGCGTGCGAATGTATGCACCGCATGTCAGCACACGGCAAGACCATGTGGCGAATTCCACGGTGCACTCTTGGAAATTAGTTTGGGGGTTTGGGGGGTGGGGGGTTTCCCCCTCGGACCACCCCCCCGCCACCCCTCAGGATGTGTTTTGCCTGGTTTAGGGGTGCGTGGGAGGTTTCCCCCAGAACCCTCCCTCAGGTTTTTTTTAGGGGGGGGGGGAGTGGCGGAGTTCCCCCCCCCCCCCCTGGGACCCTCCCTCAGGTTTTGTTTTGGAGGGGTTACGGGGGTTCCCCCTGGGAGCCCTTCCTCAAGGGGAGTTTTTTTTGAAGGGTTAGGGGGAGTTGGAGGGTCCCCCCCCAGAAACCTCCTTCAAGGGGGATGGTTGTGGGGGCTCGGGTCTTTGGGGGCTTTCTCCCCCCTGGCCCACATGTTTTGAAGGGACTAGAGTGGTCTTGAGGAGGGGCTTCGTCGGGGGCACGTCCAGTACCACGGATGCTTCTTTCAGCATCTCCGGGAGGGGCTTCGTCTAGCGGAGGGTGGTGCATAGCAGAGCGGCACGCCTAGCTTCGCTACTACTTGGAGCTCCGCCATCCTTTTCCTTACTAGCATCAGAACGCCTACGAGGCGCTCCCAAGTGTATTAAACAGGCATCCTTCGTACCAGACGCGCCCCTAGGCTGTGTGCCACCCTCTGCTAGACCAGGCCCCTCCCAAGTTTATGTAAAGCATCCTTGGTACTAGACATGCCCCTCTGCTGTGCACCACCCGCTGCTAGACGAGTCCCCTCGCACGTTTATTGACAAAGGCATCATTGGTACTGCACGTGCCCCTCTGCTGTGCACCACCCGCTGCCAGAGAGCCCCCTCCCACGTTTATTCACAAAGGCATCATTGGCACTTCACGTGTCCCTCTGCTGTGCACCACTCGCTGCCAGACGAGGCCCCTCCCAGCTGTATTTACAGAACCGCATCCTTCGTACTAGAGGTGCCCCTCCGCTGTGCACCGCCCGCTACTAGACGAGGCCCACCCCAAACAATGAGGGGACCCAAACACGACAAGGAGTACCCAAACACTCTTGCTTTCGCCTCCCGCGTTCGCTTTCGCCTCCCGCTTTCGCTGTCGCCTCCCGCTTTCGCCTCCCATACTCGCCTCCCGCTTTCACTTTTGCCTCCTGCGTTCGCTTCCTCCCACTTTCGCCTCCCGCTTTCACTTTCGCCTCCTGCGTTCGCTTTCTCTCGCTTTCGCCTCCCGCTTTCGCTTTCGCCTCCACTGTCGCCTCCCGCTTTCGCTTTCGCCTCCCGCTTTCGCTTCCCGCTTTCGTTTTCGCTTCCCGCTTTCGCTTTCGCCTCTCACTTTCGCCCTCCCGCTTTCGCTTTCGCGTTGGCCTTCCACTCTCGCCCTCCGCTTTCGCTTTCGCCTCCCGCTTTCGCTTTCGCATCCCGCTTTCATTTTCGCCTCCCACTTTCGCCTCCCGTTTTCGCTTTCGCATCCCACGTTTGCCTCCTGCTTTCGCGTTCGCCTCCCACTTTCGCCTCACGCTTTCGATTCCCGCTTTCACTTTCGCTTTTGCCTCCCGCTCTCGCCCGCCCGCGTTCGCTTTGGCCTCCCACTTTCGCCTCCCGCTTTCGCTTTCGCATCCCATTTGCGCCTCCCGCTTTCGCTTTCGCATCACATTTTCGCCTCCCGCTTTCGCTTTCGCCTCCTGCTTTCGCCTCCCGTTTTCGCTTTCGCCGCCCGTTTTCGCTCCCCGCTTTCGCTTTCGCGTTCGCCTCCCACTTTCGCCCGCCCGCTTTTGCTTTCGCCGCCCACTGTCGCCTCCCGCTTTCGCTTCCGCCTCCCACTTTGGCCTCCCGCTTTCGCTTTCGCCTCCCACTTTCGCCCTCCCGCTTGCGCTTTCGCCTCCCACGTTCGCTTCCCGCTTGCGCTTTCGCCTCCCATTTTCGCCTCCCGCTTTCGCTTTCGCCTCCCACGTTCGCCTGCCGCTTTCGATTTCGCCGTCTGCTCTTGCTTCCCGCTTTCGTTTTCGCGCTCGCCTCCCACGTTCGCCCTCCCGCTTTCGCTTCCGCCTCCCACTTCGCCCTCCCGCTTTCGCTTCCGCCTCCCACTTTGCTTTCGCCTCCCCCGCTTTCGCTTTCGCCTCCCACTTTCGCTTTCGCCTCCCGCTTGCGCTTTCGCCTCCCACGTTCGCCCTCCCGTTTGCGTTTTCGCCTCCCACTTTTGCCTCACGCTTGTGCTTTCGCATCCCGCTTTCGCTCGGGAGACGGGATCGGGAGGCGAAAGCAGGAGGCGATAGCGGGAGGTGAAATTGAGAGACGAAAGCGGGAGGCGAACGCGGGAGGCGACAGCAGGAGGCGAAAGCATGAGGCCAAAGCAGGAAGCGTCAGCGGGACGCGACAGTGAGAGACAGGAGCAGGAGGCGAAAGCAGGAGGCGACTGCGGGATGCGAAAGCAGGAGGCCAAAGCAGGAGGCGACAGCGGGGGGCGAAAACGGGAGGCGAAAGCGGGAGGCGAAAGCGGGAGGCGACAGTGGGAGGCGACAGCGGGAGGCGAAAGTGGGATGCGAAAGCGTGTGGCGAATGTGGGAGGCGAAAGTGGGAGGCGAAAGCGGATCGCTCCCCTTTTTCGTTTGTTGTCGTGAATTTGCCCCCCATTTTGCCGTCAAGTTGCTCGTCGCGAAACCATGCACCCATCAAGCCAGCTGATTTGAAACACATCTTTTGTACTAGACGCGGTCCTCTGCTGTGCACGTCCGCTGCTGGACGAGGCCCCTCCCACGTGTCTTTTAAAACGTACCCCGGGCATCAGACGTACCCCTTTGCTGTGCACCTCCTGCTGCTAGACGTGCCCCTCTGCTGTGCATCTCAGCTACTACACGAGGCGCACCCCAAGCTGATTCAAGCATC